GTTACTATTTTTCTAAAACATTAAATGTCGGTAACAAAGTATCGTACCTTCGCTTCTAGGTCAATGAGCTCTCCCTCGAATGTATGTAACAAAGTATTGTACCTTCTCTTGTAGGTCAATGATCTTTCCCTGGATCAGGTTTATCGCAAATTATTCCTCATCCTTTGAGCAAATGCTGAGATTGAGATTGATGTACACATTGATTGGGGAATCAATGATTGATGGAGATGAAGGAGGATATGATTTTTGGAGAAACTGGGCAGAACGGGTTAGGCGCTAGCGTTGACGACGGACAGACCTTCATTACTGACGTAGACCTGCTTCGGTATGTCGAGAATTATACTGATCACCTTTTTTTTCATTTTCGCAAGAACGTATCCACAAAACTGAAGTTAGTGTATGAATTTTGTGTCAACTTTACACCGCAGAGCACTCGAGAAATAATAGAGCAGCCAATAAATTATTATTACGCAGTGCGCGAAACGAGCTCTCTCGTGCTTATTTTCCCTGTAAAAGCTATTTTTTCAATGTGCGATTCATGGCGAAGGGTGTGCGATTCATGGCGAAGGGTGTGCGATTCATGGCGAAACGTGCGCGAAAAATCTGTAACGATTCGAAATTATCTTTCCTCCTGACGTCTTTGTTTATTATTTAGAAATATTGATTGATTCAACACTGACTGGAATCGATTTACTGTCGTACAAGTAAGGTATTTCTAGTTATTTGATATTTAATTTATATTATTTTATTTCAAGGATTGCGTTTCGCTCACGACGTGTAAAAAAAAAAAAATGGTATTCGCAACACGAGCGCCAGGTAATTCACGCACTCGTCTCTTTGTCGTTCTCGCTACGCTCGGAGGACAAAATCGCCACGTGCATGAATCACCTGTTCAACGCCCTTGTTACGTAAACTACTACCCAACTAGCAAATAGGGAGGTAGACTATTTTATTTGTTTATTTTTTATATTTTTATTGGGAAGAAAACTGGAAATGTTCCAACTCGAAATACTTCGGAAAAAGTTTTGGTGGCTAAAGAAAAACATTTTCGGCCATTTCTTGGTTTTGGCGTAATAATTTTTAATGGTTGAACATAGCGCAAATATATTTACAATTTTAAATGTCATAAAATTTTATACAAATGTTTTTAATACTTGATCTGGTTAAACTTGCTATTGAAAATTCGGATAAGAGTGCCAATAGATCTATACATTCTGCAGCTAACACGTTTTACTTAAACTGATAGCATTTCAATAGTGGTGCTACAGAATACCAGACTTTCCCGCATTTCTTTTCTATTTGGTGTCGGTTAGATATTCGAACTTGCCACATATTCTTCTCTTCTACCATCTATCGCTGCCCAAAGAAAATTTGTTTGACATTTTCTTAATTTTTCGGTTTCCTAATTGTAGAGTGGAAATATTATTTTAAGATTATTAAAGAACAGTAAACCTCGTTCTAACAGGAAATTTTCTTAAAAAAATATGTATCCGTTTTCAAAAAACTGTGGTTTAATCGCTATTGTAAATTTGAAATATTAAGCTCTTATTCACACATTTTTTTAATTATCGAAAAATTTAATTTGAAGTCATTTATGTACTTTACCTCACAAATACAATCGTGTTTACAAATTGCTAAAAATGTGCAGATCAACGACGTGAGAAACCTTTCAAAAAAGAAAACAGAGCCCCAAGCTGACCCACATTGCTTCAGCAAAATCTTGTTCGTAGGACGAGTTTTATCGGATGTGATTTTAAAGTGAGCTCTATAAGTTAAAGTGCAGTCCAGGGTAATGCCCAAATGTGTTGGTGTCCTATTATAGTTCCAGAGGGAGCAAATGATATATTTTTTTAGTTTCCGATCGGCCTTTCTAGTATTACGTAGGTGGAAGGTAGAATATTCCGCCTTCTATGTATTTGGGGACATCCACTTGCGATAATATTCCCAGAGAAATCTAGATCTGTAGTAAGTATTTCCTTAGATTTCTCAAAGGATGAATGTTGGCTAGCAATAGCCAAGTCATCAGCATAGGAAAAAAGTATGTGAGGTAGTGGGCGCCCTGTCTGCAAAATACAAATAAAAAAATAGATGGGAGAATGGATACCTACGGTAGACAATCTTTCAGCTTCTTTGCCTAGCTTTTATCGCTGTCGTTTGTAACCGTGACTATTCTATTATTCAGCGTGTTATTGATAAGTTCAAAAAGTCGCTTATCAGGGAGATTTTTGAAAATTTACACATTAGTCCTCGCCAAACTATAGACTGCTGTCAGGCTAGTAAATACAGCAGCGGTCTCTAGCCGTTTTCGAAATCCAGCCTCGATATATGTAGTTAGACTGGGCATCTGATCGACACGCTTTCTTCCAGATTTGAATCGTGCGTGTTAAACATGGATTTCTTGCATTATTTTATTCCTAATTCTATTAAGAACTGGTCTTTCAAAAACTTTATAACTCTCAATTGGGATATCGGTTTATAACTCTCTGTATTGCCGTTTCCTCGGTTTCCCTGGTGTTAGGACAGCTATGACTTTAGCTTTCTTAAAACCTGTGGAAATTTTTCCGGTTTTTAAAATATCGATAAAAATTTTCCAACCAATCTTTAGCATGAGGGCTCATTTTTAATAAGAATTCTGTATGCATTCCATCAAACCCTGGAGCTATCTCTGCCTTTACGTCCTATTGTGATTTCATTAGCATTCAAATTATTAGAGTATTCTGACTCTTCTGTTCAGATTTTACTTAATGACTTCAATTCTTTCTTTACTGTTTTCGTGGTGGTGGTGGTGGTGGTAGTCGTGTTGGTAAAAAAAGAATGTCATTTTATTCTATTCAAATGCTGTTGAAATAAGTATATCATGTTAGTTACCAGAACGTATAGATCTACTGTCACTCAAACGCCAGTTTAACCTCCGTAAGAATTAAGAAATGTCGTATTTAATCGCATTTTATTTACAATGACCTTAAGAATTCAAAAATACTACAGTAGAAAGACCATTTGTAATTTTGGGTAACTTCAGAATAAGAAGGAACATTTGGAGCAATTTCAAACTCTCGTACCTCTGTTACTATTTGCTTGAGATAAATAGTTTATAATGCACATTTGTAGTCAATTTTATGACATTTAAAATTGTAAATAACAATTTTTGGTCTAAAATCAACCATTAAAAATTACGCCAAAACCAAAAAATGGCTGAAAATGTTTTTTTTTTTGGCTATCCCGGAATATTTCGAGGTGGAAACTTAACAGTTTTCTTACTAATAACAATAAAACAAAATCAAAAGTCTAAAATCCACCCCTTTCGTTTTTCTTTGAATCGCGGAAAGTTAGACTGAAATTTATAATTTATAATTTTACGGTGTTTGTTTCTCGTGTGTGTGTGTGTGTGTGTGTGTGTGTGTGTGTGTGTGTGTGTGTGTGTGTGATCCTGTGTAAATCAATCAATATGTGTTTTCAGTCAACAGGCCTTGAGTCAAGTTTCTCCCACTTAAATTTAGAAAAAGACTTCGATTGGTATGTGACGTTTCGTGAATTCGGCTTTTCTGGTGAGGGTGGTCAGAGTTGTGCAGAATCGCGAATTCTACGAGAATTTGAACTGAGAATATGACATTCTAAGCGATGCAATAAGGAAGGTTTATACAGGGAGTCCCAACTATGGAACTATGTTCCATTTTCAACGGAATCGTGTAATTTTTTCACTAGCAATAGATATATCATAAATAGACGAATGTTTTGGTAGTATTTTGAGTATAAAATTATACCTTCTGACACGTGATTTTGAATTAAATGCACATGATTTCCTATAGAAACCTTTGCAACTGTCGCCTTTGGGGAAGGTTACGGCGCCAGCACGTGTGTGAAAAGAGGGGAGATGCCGCGAAGGCCACCTTCTCCAAAAGCGACAGATACGGCAGCTGCTACTGGAGCAATTGCACGTTTAATTTAAAATAGCATGTTACAAAGTATAATTTTGTACACATAATACTACCAAAACGTTAACACGTGTTACATTATTGCGTGTTCCTCTTTTTAAGATCTGTCTATTGCTAGTGACAAAAATAATGGTTCCATTTAAAAATTAAAAGATTCAATTTCTCCAAAACTAAAAATATTCCAAACAATATCTCTACACCGTATCACTTGCTTTATGATTCCGCATTTTTGAGCGCACACTATTTCGGTATCGAAAACACTTTAAAAATGATGGGGGTGGCCCGTAGTTGGTGGGACTTTCTATATTTTATACAAATTAACCTCTTTTGCAAATGCACCTTCCTCTTCATACAAATATCGGGGGTCAGGAGGAATTTTCAGAGGAATAGCAGATTTCCACACGCGAGAGTTCTCACTCGAGTACTAGTACAAAATCACAATTTGATTCCATTTGACAGTGGACTAAACTTGTAATGTTATAAAGTTCAATATAATTAACAAAGATGAAATACTTGGCGTATATTCGAACCCGTGATCCAAAGCAATTAAATATCATTAATTTCTTAGTGCCAAAAAAATCAACATATAGAGCCTGAAACTTCAAGTTTGTGTTGTACCTGTTGCAATTTTCCAGTTAATTTTTAATGTTCATTGTTTAGGAATGTTTGAATTAGGCATAAAATACAAACAAAACCTAAAATGTTTAACGTTTTAAGTCTTATAGCGCTAACCTCAAATTTTATCTCTGCACCGGAACGATCCTGGCGGCTATCTCGTCAAAAAGAAGCGATAGCTTGTGAAATGAAATCTGTTGCTCAGGAAATCGCCTTTTTTTGTTTCAAATAATAGGTGTTGAATGTGAGAATAAGAGTACAAGTTCGTAAAGTCTGAAGTGTATTTAATATTGAGAAAAAGGTTTCTGCAAAATGGTTGATTCTGTTTTAAAAAGCGTTGAAGAATTTCTAGCAAAAATTAAATTTATCAATAGAGGTGTAGTATTTTGTTACTTTCGTTCTTTGAAATTGAAACGTAGGAACAGATATTTATATGAATACCATCTTTTTCAGACATACTACATTTGACGTGCAAGTTCCAAAATTTATTGGAAAAGTTGGACCCACTAGTAGATGCCCGCAATGTATGTATTTTTCTGTTAAATGGCAATTTAATTTGACAAAAAGTGACGCAATATTCGGTGCATTAACTATTTCAGGAACTGGAGCGAGTGCCCGCGAACGCGGAAACGTATCAAGTACTAGGAAACGTTTTCTTCCCCGTTCCCCCTGCACAATTAAAGAAAGAAATGGATGAAGAGATAGCAATGTTACAAGAAGATACGTAAGTTGTATGAGATTGGTACAAACGTCAAGAAAAAACATTTCAAATATTTGATTCTGTCTTTACAATAATATTCTATTTGGATTGAATTTTGAAGGCTTTATACTGTAGTGTGTTTTTATGACATGTCTGTTGTTCACGCGTTGTAAATATGCTCTCTTAAAAACTGTTGGAAAATTAGGCACATCGTTCACAGCTACATGATGTGACAAAATCATCAGGAATGAAAACAACAACCAGAAAATTGTTGAAACTAATTAACAAAATAAAACAATCGAAATAGGCGTTTTTTCTCTAACGGTGAAATGTGTTATAATATTAATACCGGACGCATAATTAGTACCTTTTTATTCGTAGGTTCGGATCTCATATACTTTTTTAATAGAGCAGAACATTTTTCAATTCAATATAATGTACATAGAGTTGGAAATATTGAAGCTAGGGTATGATTGAAAAGAAATATGTCCAAGTACTATGAATGAAAGCGCTACACATCCTTTGGAGAAAATATCATTTTCTAGAGGAATAAACAACGGATAATATATTTTTATTTCGTTTGAAAGTAATTTAAACACTTGTTCATTTCTAATATCTATAAGGAGTGTGTTGCAAGTATTCAATCACTCAGTTTTTTGTTGTTATTTTCCTTCTTGATATGCAATTTAAATAGTCCCTGGCCGAAGCCATAAAAGGCATCGATAATTATACCAACTGCGACGTGACGAGACAAAAAGAATAAAAAAAGGAAGGATTGCAATGTACATACGCTCAATGTCCAAAAGGGCTAAAGAGACGTGTTGCATAAAAGATTCAACAAAAAAAAATTGAATGTCTCATATTAAACGTAACCTTTCTCTCTTTTCTATAGTTAATTTAGTAATATCAAATTTTGCTGATTCTAAGAAATGCAGAAGGACACGCATAATAGTCTATTATGAGTCACTTTTATTGTGCAATCATTCTTATGCAATCCAAAACAGTTATTTAAGTGAAGTCATTTCAAGAAGATTGTGTTAAATGTAAACTCCTTTATTCTTGTAATTGAGTGTAATACTAACATGAACAAAATTATTTTTATGATATAAGAACATTATATTGACATAATACTATGAAACATTTTAAAAATTGTTTTTAACTAGAGGCACTAATGTTATGACTGGATTGCTCACTAATCATAGGAATTATATCATGCACATAGTTTTTCAGTAAGTTAACAGTAATTTCAGTAAGTTATTACAACTTATAATTAAGACAAGTTTTCTTAATTTTCTTAAAGTATATTTTCTAATGTTAATAAGTGAATTTACAAGTAATTTTCTATTTCTTTGCAGGAAAAAAATTTTCGAGTCCATCGCTACATTAAATATCATTAAAGAGCCAATTCAGAAAAAACTGGATGAATTAATAGTTAGTTTACAGTTTCTGGCAACAGAAAAATAACTTGGTCTTCTAGTTAAGGAAAACACATTTAAAGCTTTTCAACAGTTACAAGTTTATAAAGACATTTTTTAACATATTATTACAGAAGTGTCATTTATATCACAAAGAATAATTATAAAATATACTTTAACTAATATTTCCGTTACAAATAGTTTTCACTGCTTCTCTTTAGTAGATCTTATATGTAAACAGTGATAAAATGTATTTTAACTCTGTTAAGTTGATATTGTTCACGTTAAACAGTGCCTAATTAAGCATGATTACATATCTAAAATAATTAATGTGCGAAATAGTATTATTCTGCTTACAAAATGTGATTTTGTTGTTGATGTGTTTTTAGAAAAATAAAATATGTTTTCCTAAAACTTTCCATTAGTTATTTTATTACCTGTTCATTACATAAAAAATTGCATTGCAAGATAGCATAAACTTATTAACATGTATACATACTCTTCATTAACTGGTAAGTCTTGCTGCTAATGTTTGAAATAAAAGTAACTAGTAAATTGTCAATTTATACTAAATTCTGTGGATAAAGGAGAGAAAACAACTTTCAAACATTCTTCACATTTATTATTCTTTGGATGATATCAGGCCACAGATGGTGTTGAGAGTGGGGCAATGGGGGTTAATACGATACAGGAAAAAATTGGATGTGCCATATACACTTAATACATTTTTCCCTACCTATATCCAAAATACCCCAAAATAGCAATTTGTAGGAAATATATTCTACTATTATTGACCCTATAACAAGTCTTCTGAATGTTACTATAATGGGGGGAAGGGGGAAACCGAACAATCAACCTTTTTTTGAATCAAAAACTTTTCTGTCATGATTCAAAATTTTGATATTACTTCATTATTTTTGAAAGTAGGACTTTCTTAAAGGAGGTAGTAATTTGGGAAGGATCATCAATGTTTCTGCATTAAGAGATAGCAAAAATTCTATCTAAGACATATAAAGCCTCAAGTTTGTGAGGTTTATATGATACAGCAGGTGTTTCATTTGATGTGAGTGCAGGGGGTATTTTGATATCCAGTAAACCAACAAGAATGTAGTATATTTGTAAAAAATGTTCCTGTTTTAACATTATTTCACATGTGTGGAAATATAAAAAGCCACTGCTCCTTACTGTAACATTTATGATTTTGTACCGTAACATTTCTCCTTGGAAGAAAATGCATCAAATAGCCCAAAACAAAATTTGTCAGACTGTATTTGGTCTTTTATTTTAATTACAGAAAATTATTACAAAATAACTGTTTTGTATCAATATACTACATGTGATACATAACAGTAACAACAACGTTTTGGTAAATAATTATTTCTACCTTCAGGCTTAAATGTCAAAATATAATAAATATAATATTTTAAACAATGGACATATGGTCACATTTTAACTGAAGAATTACATAATACTAATGTACACAAGTCACAACAGAGCACACCTTAAAAAAAATTGAAAATCTCAATATGGTATCGTATGACTGTATGAAAGGATGTAGAGGTTGAGAGGGACATTTTAAGTAAGACTGAAAGAAGTTAAAATTAACATTTAGAAAGAGAAATATCTAATTTTTAAAAAAATACTTAATCATTCATCATATAAATTGGTAAATTTATTAGATTCCACCTGTGTATTCAAACAAAAAGAAATTTTTAAACACAGTGTTTCAAATATTAATTAAGGATACAAGAAATTTTCCTGGAATAAACTTTTTGTTTCCTGAAAATTCATGTGATGGAATGTTGTGTTGTGTTTGAGATTTCTGTCTAAATGCAGGGTCTTTTGTGTTTGTTTGTTTTTTATATTCAAGTAGTCTTATGCTCAACTTACATTTAGTTTGACCAATGTATGATCTATTAAAATCTCTACAATTTGATAAACAATGCTGTTAATTTCCAATTTCTGTTTAGTGTCTTTTGACTATATGACTCCTATTCAACACTATTTACTAGTTTAAATTTAAATTTTCAAAAGTTTTTTTTAAGAAAGTTATTTATTTGGAAGATGTAGGATAAATATATCAAATTATTCATGAGTTTTTCACTTCGAAATTGTGTGGTAGTAGTATTGTAAAGTTTCCCATATTTAATCAATTTTAGTCTGTTAGATATCATTTTCTTTCTACAAATTTTAAAAGGTAGTCATTGAATTTCAATATCTCTAAAACTCTCCATAAATTTTTAATATGAAATTTGGAAGATAAGTTTTATTGCTCCATCAACTAAACAAGTAACAAGCCTTCTTGAAAATAAAAGGGTGTTTAGATAGATAATTCAACATAATACCAGAAAAAACTTGTTTGTTGTAACAAGATATTACATTGTATATTTTAGAGAAAAGAACAACTAGTTTGTCTCCAAAGTAAATTTTATTTGATCATTAAAGGCAATAAATGTCTGTCATCAATTTGATTTTGAGGTAGGATAATAAAGATGTCATCAACATAACCTGTATAACAAACAAATTCAGGTCACTTAAGATTTGTGATTCAAGGTATCTCAACACCGTTTCAGAAAGTATGGAGCTGATCGGACTTCCAATAGGAGTACCCTCAAACTCATAGTAAACGTTTCTAATAAATTTAAATTCCATATTATTTAAAAACATTCTGAGAACTACAACAGCTACATGTGATTTGTATCATTGATATTATGTAATTCTTCTGTTTAAAACTGACCATTATTGAAAATGTTATATTTATTTGTTTTGTGATTATTAAATCCTGAAGATGGAAATAATTATTTTCCCAAATGGGGCTAATGTAATTATGTATCAAATATAATGTAAAATGGTGATGTAAAATAGTTATCCTAAAACAAAAGACCAAATATAGCCTGACAAAGGCCTTCAAAGATTTTGTAACAAGTCCTACTTAAGAAACATCCAAATTCGTAGTCGATATGCTCAGTTCTGTTTCAACAGAGAAAGAAAGGCATAAAAGACTAGTTTGCATTTTATTCTGCCATTAAGGAACATGGTACCACAAAGGCGTTCTTTCGCTTATGAGTATGTGGATGACTTGATCCTCTCTACCCCTTTTGGTTGTGATCAAGCACTTTGGATTAATTTTTTTTCCTTTCTTTTTTTCTACGACTATCAAGAATCAGGGTGTATGTTTCAATATGTACTGGTATGGAAAACCACCTAAAACTGACTGGTACTACCTCAATTATAATTCCCACCACAAAATGGTTTCCAAAAACAATGTTGTCTTGACACTCAAACATAGAGCCCTGAACTTAAGTAGCTAGGGTTTCCACAAGTTAAATATATACAAAGTTTAAAGAAAACCCTTAGTTAGTAACTATCCCCTTAACAATATATAGTACGGAAAATTGTTTAGTTCCCCCACTATTGAGCACCAGCAGCAGTAGACCAAACCCGTTCAACAAATAATCCATTGAGTATGTGAAAGGGATATCAGAGCCATTGGGGAAACTCTCAGAAAGTGAAACTTATTCTATAGAATTTTCTAACAAAAGAACCCTCAATAATACTTTGTTTTAGTAGGACCAAAAATACCAATGATACAGGGACGAATCCAGATGTTCATTTTGGGGGAGGGGGAGGGCATTGTTGACTTTCCTTAAATAATAAACATTTTTTATTATATTGTATATTATTATTATAGTGTATATATGATATTACACAATATTATTTTTTAAATAATTACATACTTCAAATATATATAAATATGTATATATATTTTGCCAAATAACAGAAGGTAACAAACGAGGGAGGGCCATGGCCTCATGACACCACCCTCCCCTCTCTGGATCCACTGCTGCAATGATACCTATAAGGAGCATGAGCAATATGATTTATTCTGTACCATGTATTGTGATACATTCAACAAACAAGGTAATATCAGTATTTAATATCAATGTTTGAACCAACACCAATGAGATATTAAAAAAGGTTCTCCTACATTTGCTCTTGTCCAACATGTTACATTAACTGTCTATAAATTAAATTTTAATGCAATCCAGTTTTAGGAGAAATAAATCAATTTTAAAAAAGGATAAATAAAGAAAAAGATTAATATCAATGAACACAGTGCCAGCATAAAAAAATAGTTATATACCATTTGAGCAAATTGTTTGATAACATCATCAATAAGCACATCAGTTAAACTTATCTGACCACCAATTTTTAAAATCTATTAACATTGGAAAATTCTCCTACTTTCTCATAGTTATCAATGATCAAATGACTGGTGATTAAATTTCATATGCTTCTTTTCCATGTTTTCTAGACACTGACAGTGATAGACTGTACTATTGATTTCATATGGTTTTTTATTCTTTACGTATATTAAATACTTCTTATTCAATTATACGAATATTATATTTCACCTCCTAAATCAGGGTGGCAACTTGATGGAATATGAAGTTAAGAACCGCAATAATGTACAGTAGCTCCCTGGGTAAATATTAATAACTACATTATCTATGAAAACTAAAATTAAACCATATGAATGAATAAACATGTGTAAACAATAATTCTGTTAATGTTCTCTAGTAATATTCAAGAGTTTGTTTACCTGAATGTTATGTTTTATATTGTTTTACATGTTCATTATCATCATAATATACACTGTGTATTCTGTGTTTACACATTGGATATACATAATTACTTATAAAAAAGTTTATTAGAGATATTTTTAAGCTTTTTTTTCAATATAAATTGATATTGTAGAATTCACAACCATGATGCAATGGGGGATGTAGTTCATGGGATTGGCCAGAGTATACAGAATTAAACAATTAGTTTGCTGATGTTTCAGAATCTTGTAATTCCATAATGAGTGCTAATGTACAAGAAAAGCAACTAGGCATGAAGACATTAATATTAATATAAAATACAAAATAACATGACATCACATCACTCGTTTCCACGCACTGTTTTGTGTTGCCCTGCGGCAGCCCCTTTTCACGTCGCCACCGCTGCGCGCTTCCGAATACCACGGCTCGTAGCAGAGCTTTGGTTTAAATGGAGATCTTCCCATGTTTGGCGGGTTTGCGCCGCTGCTGCGTTCGGGGCCGGACCCTCCCTACGAGAAGCGCAGGAGGGCGTACCGCTAGCAGAGCTTTAAATGACGGTCTTCCCACTGCGCAGCCGGTCGCTGCGTGTTACCTGCTGCGGTCCCTTTGTTCGTCGTCGCCGGAGGGTCGGCGAAACCTACTCCTCCAGAACCCACCCCGTCCACGGTGGGGGCGGTGCGGCGGTGGTGTGCAGCGGTGGCGGCGTGAGCAGAACCCTGCCGCTTATCGGAAGCGCGCCGCTGTGGCGACGTGTGAAGGCGCCGTAAATGTCATATAACAAATGAAAGAATGGAAATGTGTCCGAGAAAA